GCTTACAGCTTTAAGTGTTTAAGTATGTGCTAATAGGGCTGGGCGATATGACCCAAAATTCATATCTCGATATTTTTTAGCTGGATGGCGATATAAGATATATATCTCGATATTTTTTTTAAAGCCATAAAGTAAGAACAAAAAGAGAGTTCTTAGTCAAAGCTGTGTCCCAGATGTCACACAGGCACTTTTATTAACATACGAGCGATGTACATAAAATTTACTCAAAAATAAATTATCGAGCATTTATTAAATAATAATGCTCCATAAATAAAAGAAAACAATGTTGTTTTTGTGCATAACAAAAAGCTCACAATTGTGCAGTCAAAATGTAAACTAACAGACGCTGAGCATAATAACAAAGACAGATTTCACAGCTGCTCTGTTCCCAACTTCTACTGCGTGACTGACAGCCTGGAGTTTGAAATCCGCTTCGCAACCACGTCTCTTAACAGGTGCCATTTATGGTCCTTATACACAGTAGGGTAATATTACGTTGAAGCACAGTACGTATCACTCCGCGAGGCTCAGCCGTAATGCTCCGACAATCCATCAAGCGGTGCAGCTCCGTAGCTTACCAAAGTCGTACTAAAACATTTTTTGACAGATTGCTGAGCGCCGTGTTCCACATAAAATCGGTTCGCGGCCATCAAGCACAACCAGAATTCATACATAAGGCGCGCTGTCAACTTTTGAGAAAATGAAAGGATTTTAGTCCGTGCAGCACCTCTGGGCTGCATGGCGTTAGCGTGGTTAGCTCGTTAGCGTGGTTAGCTAGCTAACACGTTGACGCCGTCCAGCCCCACGCACGGGGCGATGCGCAGTAACTCGTTAACGGAGATTTGCCGTGTCCATCTTGTCGCTTCCTGCAGGTGAAGCGATGGGGGAGGAGGGGGAGTTGTGTCACATGCAGTGCTGCCATCTTCTGTTTCAGTCCATTATTACACTCTTAAATCTTACTACTTATTCCTGCGTCTTTTGGGATCCAGACTTTAAATGAGGCAGACAAAAAGCTTCAAACGACGCGTCGACTATTAAATTAGTCGTCGACGTTTTTGACAGTCGACGTAATCGTGACTAGTCGATTAATCGTGGCAGCCCTAGTGAGGAAGTCACTGCTTTACCTTCAGGAACACTGGGCCTGTCGACATAACGCCACATATGGAAGTTTCTGGGTTTGTTCATATATCCACAGAGCTTGACTGATACCTACGTCGCGACTATTCTATTTTCTGTATAGATAAAAAAAATGGTGTCAGTTAAGCCAAAGGTGTGACTGCAGTGATTAAGGAGCAGAATAAATATGCTCGAACTCTGTTTCAGTGATTTTGAAGCTGTAGATATGTAAAGCAGATAAGCTGATCAGATAGAAAAAGCAATTATGGAAAAATTCTCCCAGTGTGAGATCATGTTATTCCAGGCTCTGTTTGGCCTTTTGCTGGTGGGGGAGAAAGTCCATCCAAACGCTGCAGGCCCGAGCAGCTGAAGAGTCTGCAAGCGCAGAGGAAAGAAGCCTGTTTCCCATGTTATATGGGACAGCTAAGTGAAACCATGTGTTCTCAGAGTGGTGGTTACAAGCTAATTGTTGAAGTGGGGGCTCCAAGCAAAGCCCACCCTGCTTTACAAACATGTAGCTGTGAGAAAGCAAGGCAGCTGAGCACACCGGCTTCAACCATTCGACTCCAAAACAGCCCAATCTGCAGGAATACCGAGCAGCTGTCCAAAAAATAAATGCTTCGCCAGGTTAGAGAGTGGATTTTACCGTTCTTGGGTTTCTGATGAAGATCTTGGAGCGGCCATAAGAGATCTCTTCTGTTGGAATCTGGAGGTCGGCCATCAGCACCTCCACTCCTTCCCTGTGGGAAGTCAGAAAAGTCAAGAGGGTCCTACACTACACGAGCGCAGATATATACAGTTTTCACAGGATTGCAGTGCAGTCCCACCCTTACTGCTTCCATAGGAATTAAGAGGGTAAGTCGCAGGCGTGCGCTGCTAATCAAACGCACTTGATTAAAATAACAACTCTTTAAAATCAGGTTGTGTCAGTTCGAGCTTTCAGGTGTGTGTCAACAAAATCTTCCTAGGAGTGGACGTTCCAGCAAGTTCACCCCGGGGTCAGGTTGTGCAATGCTCAGAGAAAAGGCCTTGCAGGCCTCAGCATGCTAACCTGGGAAGTTCATCACAGTACAATTAGAAAGAGACTGAACAAGTATGGCTTGTTTGGAACAACAGCCTCTTCTTTTTTTAAATAAAGAAAAAACAGGGCAGCACAGCTCATGTTTGCAAAGGTTCAACCTGTGCCGTCTGAACAGGGGAGCTGTTTAAAGTCCAGACGTCAACGTGATGGGAGCTGCGCGTGAATAAACACCTGCAAACATCTGTTCCTCAACGTTTTCATTCAGAAGTAAACACGCTTCTTAGATCAGAGGTTAAATGTCTTAAAAAGTTAAGCTGTAGTCGTCTCGTGTTTAGGATCTTAAGACTACTGTGACCTGCACAGACAAAGGTGAGCGGGCCAAAATTACACAACAACAATGTGAGACTGATGAAAACCACACAGAAAACAATTGCACATGATGCTGAATCACGGGGTTTACTTAGTTTTTCACCTGACAGAAACAGCAGAAGGATTCGGATTCATGGAATAACAGAAGAGAGCGCTGAGGATGGCGTTTGAGAAACGATGGAAACCACGATGAAAGCAACAGCCAGAGAAATATGTCAGGAGACTGAGAAGAAAACTAAAACCACACAAAGCTGATACAAAGATGCTGAAACATCAGGAGCCAGATGTGTGAGACGGCAGATAGGAATCAGTGACTTCACCAGCAGAGAGGACGAAACCTGCAAGTCTGGCCGAGTCGAGGAGACAGATAAGGAGGGAACGTCTGGGCATGTTGTGGTTCCGAAACATAAGGTTTCATTTCTTTCAAACAAAGCTCGCTGTGACGACACGCACCTAAAACATCTCTGCTGACACACTGCTTTTATATAACATGACCGAACCAGCCAAACCTTTTTACCCTGGAATCACTCACGTCTTTAGTTGACTTGCATGTGAATCCATGCATATGCACACAGTGGGGACAGGAATGCATGAAAACAGCTGGGAAAAAAGGAGGGAATCAGTTTCCTTATCCTTAGATCTACACATACCAAACTCAGCCAAAAGTGTTGCTTTATAGCTCAGCGTTTTAGACCACATATTTAAATATACAGATCATATGGTCTGCTGGGTAAACTGCTGTCAAGCTCCCCTAATTATTTTCCCTTTTGCCTCTTTCTGTGTCATCCGAGTACTTTCTAGCAACGGCTGCTTCGCATTCACACAGCCACACCTGGGAGTGGACCGCTCTAGCCACAGTCTATTAGTGCTGGTCACACACTCTCCACTGGGAGCAGAGTCAAGTTTAGTGCCTTAGCTAAAGACACCTGGGAGCATTTCTCATTTTCCACACTCACATTTTCACACTGAAAACTTGAAGGGATTTGCTCTGGCAAGCTTCCAGGGCCAAGACCTCTTTTCCCCCCTAATCAACTATTCCCTAATGTCACCACTTCAGGGTATAAACAACAATTACCTTGCAGGCCCCTTCCAATGCGGCCAGGTCCTTTTGCAGAGCATTTTGTAGCGCTCCAAGCAGGGCTCGTAGGGCTGGCGGAAGGCATAGCCTGCTCGTCGCACACGGACGTTCTCCATCAGGCCCAGGTAGCGCACCTGATGGCGGACCAGAGAGTCGGTGAAGATGTGGGATGCCTTCTTATCATTGGGCTTGATGCAGCTGGAAAGCAAAAATTAAGTTGCAGATATTAGGCTGGTGCGTAGAGCCGGCTGCAGTAACAGCAGCAGCTCTTAAGTGCGCTTTTTGTAGATTAATAGACCGTGCTAGACGGTGAGAGTAACAGCAGGCCGGCTGTACTCTCTGGACTATTTGAAAATGATTTCAAAGCAAACTTTGAGAGAATCACAAACAGCACAAACTGCTCTTTCTGTGTAATCGATATGATCAGATTTACCGGATGTAGTTTGGGTTCTTGGTCTGCAGGTTCCTCATCAGCGTGCCCACTGAAGCTCTGAACTGGAATCCAGCAGTTGGGGGTCTCTTCAGGTTGACTTTGGCTGGGTTGCCTTCAGGAAACAGCTGTTTGATGAGGCTGTGGTTGGCTTTGTACATGGCCTGTGACAGGTCCCGGTACAGAAGGTCATTGTTCTTATCCACAAAGCCCTCCACACGATACAGCACCTGGATACACAGAGGGAAGTGAGCCATTCACAAAAAGGTATTTTCATACACAAGTTGAACAAAGTGGTTACTTCTTTTTACACTTTGATTTTATCCTATGGCAGAATTTCACTGTCCCATGCAAAAATTCATAATATTATATTATTAATTTGTTAACATGTCTTTTTTAACATATCCGTCAGCTGTTGTTGTTGCTGCCTCGGGTACCTTGCCGGCGTAGTGCTGGATGCGGAAGCAGTTGTGCGGCAGGCTGTGGTCGTTGAGGAACTTTGAGTTCTTGTTCAGCCGACTCTCAAAGTGCTGGTGGTCCGCACAGATGGTGTTCAGTTTGTCCAGGAAGGTCTCATCAGTGACCGTCCCCGGCCTCAGACACTCCTCGTCCAGCATGGCCAAGATGCCGTTTTGATTCTGGCACAAACAAAAGGAGGTTTAGGGTCAAACTTCTGAAGGGTTCAATGTAGAAACGTATTATTCTGTCATGGCTCATGTGTTTCACAGTGCTGAACAATCTGTTCACAACAGCTCGGATAATCATCTCATTTTGCTAAGACAACGTCAGACTTAAAATCAGCTTTAATGATGAACTGCTTTTCAATAACAACACGATCATGAGGTTACACAGGAGGTTTACGCCACCTCTGGAGTCACAGAGCGGGAGAAATCATCCAGATTTAACCAAAATTAGCGTTTCTCAGTTATTCCAGAGAAACATAAGTGTGGAGAACATGAAAAGCCAAGAACAGACACAGGACTTACGTTCTCAATCAGGTCACAGATGATGGCATTGTTGAAATATTCAATGTTGGTCCACTCGATGCCCTGTAACAAATGCATAAGCAGAGGTATACAGACATTTGTGTACATTTTAGAAACTGATGTACGCTGCGTGTGGGAGAGCTCAGCACAGCACGTGCATTTTCAGCGTGCACCTCATCTATCGCCTTTACCAAGTATTCATGTGCTGCAGTTACAGAGACACATGTTGCAGCACTTAATATTTACATGGGCGTAATGAGAACAAATGCTCCGGGAAGGGAAAAACAAAGAGACTTGGGTTGGTCACAGATCTTGTTTCTTTCATCTTGAACTCGAGTGCGTTTATTGAAAATGATTTAATCAGGATAAACCGATGCGTTTCCATCAGTTCTGAAGCCATAATTGTCCTCGGTGCTTTGATGTTATGTCCTACAGGCTCCGTCTGCCTCACGTCGAGGCCAGAGTCCCTTTGGAGACTCAAAGGAGGAACACTTTCAATCTTGCCCTCTCAGAAAGGTTCACTGGGCCTTGGAAAAAACGATTTAGCAGCCATCAACTTCATAGCTACTAACGGCTTGGTAACATAGGTCGGGGTAAGCAACTGGACAGATATTTTGGAGGGGGGAGGGGCGGATGCACAGGAGGCATAGCTTAAACTGACGGGTGGCCGGCCGCATTCCTGATTGGTAATCCTCCCTTCTTGCTCCAGCACTGCGGTATTTTCCCATGCAGTATACTGGAGAGAGGCCAGGAGTGGAATATCATTGGTGGTGGTGTTAGTAGGGAAGTGGCGTGGGGGTCACTACCGCTGCACTCATACACAGAGCTCGGAAAACAAACAGAGCCTAAAGGCCCGCAGCGGGGAGTGTTTACTCTCGCCGGAGCGGAAGACCATTTCCGTCCCCAAGAATCCACAGAGGGAAGACGTGAAGGGAATAAATGAAGAGGGTTTTCATGACAGAGACACGCGTGAAGTAATAATGCGTCTGGTCAAAGGGCGAGGCTTGTAGAGCTTAAACAGATGAGCGCCGAGCGCCAAGCCGCCAGCGCAACAAAGGTGTGCAGAGCGCCGACACGTAGAGTGATGCAGATTCTGCACAGCTGTAGGCCTGCACAGCACAGCTCGCTCTCGCTCTGCAGGCCTACTTGTTGTTCCTAGAGTATTTAAAAGTAGAATGGGAGGC